TTTTTTTTTTTTTGAGTTGGAGTCTCACTCTGTCACCCAGAATGGAGTGCAGTGGCACACTCCTAGCCACCACAGCCTCAACCTACCGGGCTCCGGTGATTCTTCCACCTCAGCCTTCCGAGTAGCCAGAACTATAGGCATGCAATACCACGCCCGGCTAATTTTTTGATTTATTGTAGAGATGAGGTCTCACCAAGTTGCCCAGGCGGGTCTTGACCCGTGGGCTCAGGCAATCCACTCACCTTAGCCTCCCAAAGCTCGGTATTACAGGCTGCGCCACCGAGCCCAGCTGCTTTGCTTTTTCATTGGTCAAATTTAAAGTGAATTTTCTTATTCTCTATAAAATTTTATAGAATGATTTTTATCTAAAATAGCCTGTTTGAATCTAGAGTTGGTGGCTCAGCCTGTAATCTCGCACTTTGGAAGGCTGAGGTGAGTGAATTGCCTGAGCCTGGCGTTTCAAGACCCGCCTGGGCAACTTGGCATGACCTCATCTCTACAATAAATCAAAAAATCAGCCAGGCATGGTAGCGCATGTCTGTAATTCTGCCTACTTGGAAGGATCGCCGGAGCCCAGCGGGTCGAGGCTGAAGTGGCCGGGAGTGGCCACTGCACTCCAGTCTGGGCGGCAGAGTGAGACTCCAACTCAAAAAAAAAAAATAGCGTGTTTGGGTTGATTGAATTAATATATATGCTAAAACAATGGCTGAAGTTTTGCTAGTTATTTTGTACCAATATTTACATAAGTATATATGAAATATATTAAATCCAGTAAAATATGACATCTGAGCTTGAAATAATGCTAACTGTATCTCATGGCAGCTGATCTCTAGGAGTGAATTATCTTTACCTTTTAGCCACATCATACTTGAGAGTATTCTTGGGCTTTGATTAGACACAGATGGTGGTTTAGGGACTCCCGGACAAAGAACTGTGAGTGATCCTATAATAGCCTCTTTTTTCTTTTCTTTCTTTTTCTTTTTTCTTTGAGTTGGAGTCTCACTCTTGTTGCCCAGGCTAGAGTGCGGTGGCATGCTCATGGCCACCGCAGCCTTGACCCGCTGGGCTCAGGCAGTCCTTCTGCTTCAGTCTTCCAAGTAGCTGGAACTACAGGCAC